TACTGCTAGTAATAATAATAAAATATATTATTTATAATACTACGAATAATACTAATAGTACAAATAATTATTATTACTACAGCTAATAATGATCATTTTGTTATTCCTCTTATTATAACACAAATAGTAATACTATATAATACTAATCATCATCATCATATTATTATTATTATTATTAGTTATTGATGTAGTAGCAAAAAATTGCAGTTTATACTTGGCTAACATGCCTATATTTGACAGCCATGTAATTCAGTAATATAGTTACAATCACTACTAAATTCTGTCCATTAAAGGCATAAGAACCCATAAAAATAACTAAAAAAAAAAAAAAAATGCCGAAAACATGAAAAGTCAGTTTAAAACTAGTCGTATTTACATCAAAATCAACAAGTGAAGCTCACTTTCTGTTTGTTGTACTACATACAGAAGGCAATCTCTACGCACTTCAGGCCAAAGATAATAAAGACAATTATTATCAGACATTACCTACACTTTGATAACCTAAAGAAAGGACACTTAAACCAACAGTGTCCTTCATAACATCACACACAACCAATTTTAGCAAATAACCATGCTTCCAGTTTACTGAGTGAGGAGCTAAACACATTTGCATATGCCAGATAAGGCCAGGGACACTGACTATGTGATGAAAAACAAAAGTTTAAGTCCACTTTACACATTAGAATTATCAGGGTTGTAAATGTCAATGAAAAAAAGACACATATCCACAGGACTGCATAATCATATTGCCCATTTATCACCAAAGAACATCATAATGAGGCCAGTAATACAGCAGATCACATGATGAGTGTGTGTGATGTGATTGGCTGTGCTGTCTATCAGCTGATGTGTGTGTAATGAGCTCAGGTGTATGTGGAGGATTATCTGTATGTACAGAGATAAATCCTTCAGTCAGAGCTGAGCCTCTACCGTCTCCACAAACACAGTCAGTCTAGTGGAAAGAGCAGCCTGGTACCGTGTAAAGTGGCCTTACTGTAAAACTGTGCCTAAAAAAAATTACAGATGCACAGGGCTGTAAAAGGGTTGAGTATATTTGCTTCTTATTTAAGCTTCAGATCAGTGTTGACATTGTTAACTAAAATGATTCAATGTTTTCTTTTATTTGACGTAAAGGTGCAATAAAATGAAGCATGATAAATATTAGATGGAAAACTTAAACCTAATTTTTGTTTTTGTTTTTTTTAAATGTAGCCTTGACAACTAACTAAGTAATACAGGTGCATCTCAATAAATTAGAATGTCGTGGAAAAGTTAACGACATTCTAATTTATTGAGATGCACCTGTAAAGTTACTAAAACGGAAATAAAAATAAAATGAAAAATAGAGATATTTAAAATTAAAAACCTAAAGAATATGACAAAAGAACATATTTAATTGTATAAATTTAATTACTAAAACTTGAACTTATAAATTAACTTAAAATTATTTTTAAAATAAATTTTAAATAAATAAAAGCTAATTCAAAATATTAAAATATTATAATAGTATATAAATACAAAAACAACTCTGTGACTATAGCACAGATATTAAAAAATATATATAATAATAATAATTATATATATATATATATATATATATATATAATATTATAAAAAATGATTACAAAAGCACAACAAAACTACTAAAACTAAAATTAAAAACAAAAAAAAAGCTAAAATCTAATTCAAAATATTAATAAATACTATAATAGTACATAAATATTACTAAAATAATACTGCTTTGCATAATGTGACATTAACAACACAGACAATCCACTAACGCCTGCATGTGTAAACTCATATAAAGTGCTGGAGCATGCTCTATAGGGGACTGTATAGAGCCAAAAGAGCCTTTCACATGACTCGCATCAGTTCAGATCAGTTCAATACACCTCAACATGAAAAATTATGCAGATAGTCATGCAGAGTCATTTTATGAGGATGCTAGTTAGCAAGAAACTGTTTGCGGTCAAGAGCGAACATATAAGTAAACATAATAGGTAACATATCTGAGCGAAGAACAGAAAAAAGTCTTGCTAATTTTGTTTATACATCACAGAAAGGAAAAAAAAAATGAGAACAGACTGATATATCAGTTGGTGATGTGTTTACCAAAATCATTGTGAACCTAAGTAGATCATGCGCATCACTGGTGTCAATGGTTTCTACATCTACCAAGACTTGCAATGTTTTTGTGAAACGCAGCCCTGACCGATATTCATTAGCTGATATTTAATACAATTTTAATTCAATTCAAATAGCTTGATTGGAATTACTGTAATACAATATTGCCAAAGTTTAGGATATTTACCAAACAATAAAAATAAAAACCCACATATTATTATTACTATGATATAAAATGTATTATTATATTATATTATATTATATATTATTTCTATTTTATTATGACAAAAAATATTTCATTTTATTCAACTGTAAATTTTTGACTTGAGTGATAGTCTTGGATTTAACATTTTTTTATAAAAAATGTAAAGATATGATATATACATACTTTTTAATAAAATATATAAATTTAAATTATATTATTAGATTATAAATGTTATTTATTATATTAAATATATTATATATTATATTATATTATATTACTGATTAACATAACCGTTAGATCCTCCTTGTGTCAGTTGTAAAATTAATCAACATTTTTCAAAAGAAAATAAGCGTAAAATAACTAAAGGGTGACACTTCCCTCCAGAGTTCAATGCACTGGGAAATATTGACGCGAGTCATGTGAAAAAAACCTTCAATAATCCAAATTTAGAAACACCTTTAAACAAAGAATTTGCCAAATTAATTTCACAAGGAAATCAACAGAACTCTCAGGGAAGAGCAAGGGAACATTCCACACTGTATAACCGAGGGGAAGCTATGAGGATACGGGACAGGGAATCCATGAAAATATCTAACACTACGGGAATAACATTCATTCCTGGAGATGCCAAATCAGAGGAACCATTCCGAGGTACAAAAACGGAGAAAAGCAACTGCCATCCCACAAATCAGGCCTAAAGAGGAACGCAAGATATTAGATGCAGGGGTTAGGAGCGAGATGCCTTTGAGTTATGCAGAAACGCTGCAAGCAGGTGTTACTCGGCCTCCTCTAGCCCATAACCTCCAAAGGCATCGCAGACGGGACGGGGACAGAGGGTTGCTTTTATTTCTCGAGGGGTGAGGAAGAGGAGGCGATGTGTGAGGACAGACTCACCACACTGGGCACCTGGGCCGCTTTGGGTAGTTTTGAGTGGTCCAGAGCAAAGATAGTATACTCAGAGAGAAAAGCAGGCTCTGCTATCATCCCAGCCAGCAGCTGAACGACCCCCCCACACGAGTCAACGCATTAATGACAGGACCGAGGAGTGAAGAGCAATGAGAAAACAACACAATGAGTGAGACGACAGAAAAAGAGCCAGAGGATGAGAGAATGACATCTGTGGAAACAGAGAGAGAGTTGCGACAGCGGATCCACACTGAGGCTGCAGACCTACGCTATTGGATGTCTCTACTGAACCCGACCTTGCCATCAAACCATCATATGCTGTGTATAGAGACATCAAACAGGTAGATCTAGCAGTCTTTGGCACAGACGAAATTAGGGCTCAAAAATAAGGACGAGTTGACAAAGCAGTGTTGTCACTTTATCTTGTTTATTGATGATGTACACAGGTTTTTGTTTGTTTTATTCCTTGTATCAAATTTTGCTGAATTAAATATGTCTGTAAAGTTTTGACTTTAGTGATAGTCTTGGACTCAAATCTTATAATATAATACAAGATAAGATAAAGATAAAAGATATATAATATAAAAGAGAAATAATAAGATAAATATATATAAAATAAAATCTCATATCAAAATTAAAATCTATCTAATATAAATAAATATTATATAAAAATATGCTTTCATATATTATATAAATTATATATATATATATAATATTTTAACAAAAATACTTAATATAAAAAATTATGTGTATATATATACTGATATATATATATATAATTCCATTTAAATATAAAAATATACATTAAATACAAAAAATGTAAAAAGAAAAAAAAACATATATATATATATTCATTGTAGTGGGGCCAAAGAAAATGTTGGCAGTGATAGTAAAAAAAAAAAAGGAAAAAAATTATCCTTATTGTTGAGCCCTGGAAATGCTGAGATGATGTGGAATTAATTCTGAGATCTGATGAAAATTTCAAAAAGAAATAAAGAAATACAAACAGAAAATGTGGTAGAAAGTCAAAGGTACGATCAAAACCTCGGCTCACTCATCAGTAAACCCTGCAATGATGATCTGCTTCATTCTGAGGTACAATCTATTTTAGCTGCGATTCATAAAAGAGGACAAAAACATCAATAAAACAAAAAAATAGTAACTTGATTCATGCTACACTGACAAAACTCGCTAAAATAAACCAAGCAGTGTTTGAAAGTCCAATACTATTTCAGAAGATGTATTCATATGTCAATATTTGTCATGTTTAAATGTTCATGCTTCAAAAGGGGGTTTAATGTCACAGTCCAGAAATGACAAAACTGTACCATCTAAGACTATTATTAGCCTGTATTAGTACAATAATAGCATGTAACCAACCAGCTGGAGATTATCAAACTGATTTGATATCTCAGCACAAAGTTATCTGTAAAACAAGAGGAAGATCATTTAACTTAAACAAGCATTTTACATTCACAGAATCTATTGCCCTAGACCTGGTCCAGACCATAGTGACCCCAAAAAGTATTTAGACACTTACAGGATACTTAATATTTCAAAATTTCAAATGAATTTAAGTTGAATTTAAATGTATTAATTTAAATCAAGAATGAACGCACAAGCACACTTTTTAAAACTAAACTTTTCAAACACATTTCTTAGGTTTAAAATTATAAAATTATAGATATATCGTATAAATTTACTGTAAAGTACTTGAATTATAGATTGTATCACGATGATCTTGCGCGTCTGACAAACACCAAAAGATCGCCTGAAGTTGTTGATTAAATGTATTGTGTCTGCAATCATGAGAAAAGCCTGTGTTTTGGGAGTATGGTGTATTCTTATTCATAACAGTTCAGATATTAAACACACAAGAGTTAAAGGGCATATCTGGCACATGGAAGCAGTTGCTGCTCGTATACATGCACTCAAGAGCAATGAGAAGACGGGCTGTTTGCGTCTGACTGCTCACCTCTCTGTCGTTGGGGGAGGCCGGGGCATCTTGGTGCAGGAAAGGGGGCTGAGCGCGCCTCTCTCCTGAACTCGCCTGCTGCACACAGACATGTGTGACACACATCAAGACACCACAATCACAATCAGTGCACCAAATACACGACTGGTCAAAAGTCTGGAATAATTACGATTTTTTTATGTTTTTAAAAGAAGTCGCTTCTGCGCTCAGCAAGGCTGCATTTATTTGATCAAACATACAGTCGAAATTGTGAAATATTATTATTACAATATAAATATTTTTATTTATATTATCATTTAAAATACTGGTATTTTAATATATTTGAAGATAATATATTTTATTTCTGAGATGCAAAGCTGAATCATTAGTCTTCAGTGTGACGTGACCCTTCAGAAATCATTCTAATATGCTGATTTTTGCTGCTTAATATTTTTGTACAAATTTGCAGGATTTTTTGGTAATAATTAAGCACATTTAAACCTAACTATAAAACCAGCCTGCTGTAACATAATGTGTATATACAGTATACACACACACACACACACATATATATATATATCCACTAATATTGGCACTCTTGGTAAATATGAGCAAAGGCTGCTGTGAAAATAAATCTGCATTGTTTATCCTTTTGATCTTTCATTCAAAAAATTCACAAAATTCTAACCTATCATTGAAGTAAAACATTGGGGAAATTGGGTGGGAAA